CGGGCCCCGCTGGAGCCCATCCCGGAGACGGAAGGAGGTGGCGACGCGGCGTCCTGCTGACCCCGGCCTTGGGGCTCGGGGGTCCGGACCGAGCACCCCCCCGGCCGCAGGGACCGGGACAAGGGAGCCCCAGCCAGCCCAGGGACGGGCAGCTGCCCTCCCGCAGGCTCGACGTGCGTGGAGGGACGTTTGCGGGGCCGCTGCCCGCGTTCTGCCGCACCGAGGGGCTGCGGCGGGACCCGGCGGGGAGATCGGGGAGGGGTGTCCCCGTTCCCCCTTGTCCTCCCCACCCCGAGCTCCCCAGGGACTCATCCATCCTCTCCACCCTTCTCCATCCGCTTCTGGAGCAAGCGTCCTGCCGCGGGGCCGGTGGGGACGTTGGCACCTCGGTGCCCGTTGTGCATGTGCCCCCCAGCCCACTGTGCCCGATCCCCCTTGTAAAAGCAGCCCCGGAGCTGGGGGGCTGCCCCTGTCCAGGGGGGGGGTTGCCTTCGCCAGCCCTTGCCCGGTGGGAAGGGTCCTGCCCGGTCCCTGTCCCCTCTCTGTGGGGCAGCGGGGTCCCTTCCCCTCCCTGGCGCCCCCCAGCCCCCCGCTGTGCAGAGGGGCCGGGTGTCTCTGGGGTGCAGCGGGGTGGGGGTGACTCCTCAGACCCCCCCGGGCAGAGGATGTGGCTTCTGACACCAGGGAAACGTCGGGGCTCGTCCCCCCGGGGCACGGGGGTCCCGGCGGGTTTGGGGTCGGACCGGGGCTGCGGAGCGTTATAAAGAGTGCGAGAGCCAGCCCGGCGCCCTGCTGCTCCCTCCCTGGCGGGATGGGGGTCACCAAAGGGGGGCGGAGGGTGGCACTGGGGTCTCTGCGCCCCCATCCCTCCCCTGGCACCGGGCGAGCGCAGGGTGACGGCTTCCCGCGTCACGGAGGCTGCGGCTGCCGGTGCCCCTTTGTTCGGGGAGGTAATTAGCTTAATGGGGCCGCCAGGAGCGGTCCGACACCTCCCCAGCGCTGCCCTTCAGCCCCTTTGTGCCGGATGGCCCGCGGGACCCGTGGGCAATTAGGGGCCTCATTAGTGCCACGCGCCCCGACCACCGCATCCGACCCGCCGGCTCCCGCACAATGAGGAGCTGCAAATGAGGGGAAAAGCCTGGCCAGTCTCCGGGCTACCGGTCGCAACCAGCCCCGGTCTCCCGGAGACCGGCCGCTCCCGCCCGGCCCCCGACGGTATTTTTGGTCACGCCATTGTGCCGGGCCCTATAAAGCGGCGGCGGCGGCGGGACGGTGCGGGGCTCTGTGCGGGACATGCCCCAGCGCCGCTCGGCCGCCTGAAGACCCCGGGAAGGATGGAGGTGCCCAGCGCCAAGGTGGGACCGGGGGGCTGCGGCTCTGGGGTGGGGTGACCGGGGGGGGACACAGGGAGGCACGGCCGATTGCTCCCCGGGGCTCCCCGGCGGTGGCCAGCAGCCGCTCGGGGGGGCTCAGCCCCGCGTGGGCTCCTCGGGAGGGCGCTGGGCGGGTGGCACACGCGGTGTCACGCGTGGGTGCCGTCACTGCTCGTCCCTCGACGACCGGCGGACGGTGTTTGCCGCGGGTGCCCGGTGGGGGTCAAGATACTCGGTTT